AATGTGTACAGACAAGGAAGGCAGTCACCTACAAGACCAGAGAGAGAGCCGGCACAAAGCAGACCATTCCATTGAAAGCCTTGAAGGATTCCAGAGGACAGCTTGGTGTCAGACCTCCGGGCCTTATGACACCCATTCTTTTGGTGACCCCAATCACAAGTAGTGATTGCTACTATAGCCCTAGGAAATAAATACAAGGGACTCCAGCTTCCAGTTTCCTGAGTACTGTGGGACAACAGCACCTTCTGACTGGACTATTTTAGGACTCTAATGGGAAGGTGCATATGAGGTACTTAACATGGCCTTTGGCATATCGTAAGCACTCAATAAGTCGTGACTATTAGGTCTGCGCTGTAACCTCCTGGCTCTACTGGCAGAGCCTGTAAAAGACAGCCAGGACAGGGCCAGAAGGCCTCAATTGAGACCTTTCCTAGGAAACTGGGTCACCTGAGGCATCCATCCCTTCAAAAACTCTAAATGTGGAGAAGGCCAAGAACTCCCCATTAGTGGAGTGCCTAATGGTTTTTAGCTGGAGAGTGGTCTTGGGCCTAATTGACAGGCTGTGAAGCTGAGGTTCTTTATTTTTATATGCTGCCTGCACTTTGAGTATGTTGAGCTGCCATGGGGATCAATAAATGCAGCCATCATAGCCACTTTATGGGCATTTTGTAAAGGAGGTGGTGTATTTGCCAGGAGGGACACTCCTTGAATAACCCTGAGCAGACCCCTTGTCCTCCTTGACCCTCAGTGCCCACATCTGCAAAGTGAAGGAGGTAGAGCAAGTAGGTGAGCTCCGAGCTGTGTGTGGGAAGGCTGAAGTTGCCTGTGGAGTCTGTGTGCACGTATGCATCTTGGGGACCAATGTCTAGAATGCTTATCTTTTTGTCTTTGGGGCAGTGCTGGAGGTTGAACCGAGGGACTTGTGCATGCCAAGCAGGCATGGTACCATTGTATCATATCCTGCAGCCCCTTCATTTGGTTCTTTTTTTGTTCCTTTTAGACTTTTTTTTTTTTTTTTTTTTTTTTTTTTTTTTTTTTTTTTTTTTTTTTTTTTTGTCTTTTTGAGACAGGGTCTCCCTGTAGCCCCAGCTGTCCTGGAACTCACTATGTAGACCAGGCTGGACTTGAACTCACAGAGATCTGCCTGCCTCTGCCTCTCAAGTGCTGGGATCAAAGGTGTGCACCACTACGCCTGGCTCTTTTTAGAATTTTTATTTTAGGTATATGATTGCTTCACTTGCCTGTATCTAAGTGTACCACATTTGTGCAATGCCCATGGAGGTCAGAAGAGGGCGTTGGATTCCCTGGAATTGGAGTTACATATGGTTATTAGCCACCATGTGGGTGCTGGGAACTGAATTTGATTCCTCTGCAAGAGTAGCCAGTGAGTGCTCTTAACCACCGAGCCATCTTTCCAGCCCCTTCATTTGGTTCTCTCTGGCTCCTGACTGGTCTGGGGTTCTGGGACTCTGGTTCTAAAGCTCTTTCTGAGAAATGGGTCCTGGGGGCAGGGATGGCCTCTCTGAGTTACTGGGGTGGGAGAGACCAAGAACTCAGCAAAAGAATGCCCTAGATCTAACTGCAAGGGCTTCCTTCATCTCCCTTTGGCCCTCTTTCTTATCCCACAGGCCCTAGGTGGTGTCCAGGTAGTGGCTCTCCAGCTTACCTCCTCTGTCTCCTGGACACCTCCGATAGCCTAACCCTTCTCCCTGCTGATATGCTAACCCCATCCCCATCAGACTTGGGGTCTCTTCCAATTCCCACCTGACCTGGCCTTCACCTGTTTCTCCACTGTCATCTCTCACCACCCCTCCAGCCTCTGTCAGTCCTCACTGACAGCCGCTCTGACCTCAACACCTCCAGCCCTAGCTAGGCTCAGTCCCCACTTTGCCCTTGCTGGTGCCCTGCCTGGAATGCCACTCCCACCCCCTCATTTCCTGGCTTCTCTCTGCTCTTTCAGGAGGCTTTACCTGCCACTGCCACATCTAAAACTGGCAGCTCCCTGTTAGCCTCCATCAGTATGCTTCTTGGTGTCTCCTCCAAAGCAATAACCCAGTCAGTCATAAAATGTCTGTTTTTTTCTTTTTCTCTCACCAGGAAGGAACTGAGTCCTCTATTTCATGGCGCTTGTCTCTTAGTACCTAGAATGGGGAAAACCAAAATGAATGACCATACCAAACATTGGTGAAAGTGGGGAAACAGCTGGATTCTACCGCTGATGGGCACATACGATGCCACATCCATGCTGGAGAACAATGTGGAGTTTTTATTGTTTCATCTAGATTACCAAATGACCCAGCAAGTCCAGACCTACATATTTACCCTAGAGAAATGCAGACATTTGTCTATGCAAAGACATATGCAACTATTACAGCCGTATAATGGCTACAACCTAGAAGCAAAGCAGCTGTCCATCTAGAGCAGCCAGAGCCATCTGTCCACATTGCCACAGAGACTGGGCACAGAGGGGCACCTGAGGGAACCTGTTTGAATTCCCTGTGGTGGCAGCAGCTGCTGGGTACTGCCAGGGCCATGGTTACCATGGGGATCCAGACACTGTTCCTCTGCAGGCTCCCAGCCAAGCCAAAAGCATCTAACTAGTTTCAAGTCACAATTTATGTAGTGGTCCGTCTTACCCTCAAGGGATGTGTTCAAGGTCCCAAGTGGCTGTCTGAAACCACAAAAAATACTAGAACCTAAATACTATGCTTTTTCCCATTTGTATGCACAAAATGTCATGCGTTTTTCATCTTTACTAAGCACATCCTACACTGTGGCCTTAACTTTTACAGTTTCGGGTGCAGCAGTAAAGCTAGCATGGATTTCTTTTCTTCCCAAACTCATGGATTCTTTCTTAGATCTTAGCAACCTTTGCATAGGATTTTTCTCTTTACTGAGGAAGAACTCTAACCTTTTCACTTTCCAGCTTCACTTTAGTGTCTCTCAGTGTTTTTGAACTTTTGGGCCATTACTAAGGAAAATAGGAATTAACTGCATACAAGTGCTGCCATGTTACAACAGCCTGTCTGATAGTCAGGATAGCCCTGAAGAGACTAATGGGAGAGTAGTATACACAGCGTGGATACACTGCACCAAGGGAGGCCTCACAGACGGAACAGGACTACTTAGGAGTTCATCATGCTAATCAAAATGGCACACAATTTAAAACGTAGGAATTACTTATTTCTGGAACTTTACATGAACAGCATGATGACTGTAATCACATGTTTTGTGTGATTATTTGCTTAGCATCATCCCCTCATCCCCAGGAGATGACCTTTGGGAGGACAGAGGTTTGTTTTGTCTGTTCCACCCCTAGCAGTTGCTTAGCTTCTAGTGACTTACAGCACGATGTCTAAGGGTGATGAATGTGTGTATATTGGAGAAGGAAGGAGTGGGCTGGTGGAGAGCAGAGGTGGTGAAGCACATTCCTGGGGATACATTTGCTGGCACAGTACGGCTTGGTCTGAGACTTAGCCAGGGATGGCTGTGTGCAGGGGCCTGGCCCCCATGCTGTCCATGCAGACAGAATTCTTGCAAAATGCCAATTAAGACATTTGACCCAAATTTGGATAAAAACTTTTCCTGTGTTGAGCTGAGCTAATTATATATGTTTATTCATAATTGATGAGGCCTAGTAAGTGGGAACAATTAAAGCAAAGGCCTGGCAAAACCCATTTCTCTTAAGTGTCACATTTGCCTTTTTTGTTCTCCAAGCAGGGCCCACCCATCTCTGCCTGTCATGAAACACTGCTGCTTTTGTTACGACTGTCATCTTTTTCTAAGGTCACTACCCTTGACTGACATCTATTGTGCACTTCCTGGGCCAGGCCATAACATCTCCTCTTTCACTCTTGACCCTATAAGGCAGGTACTGCTGCTTACCCATACTACAGATGAGCATTTGGGTTTCAGAGGGTCACATGAATGGCCCTTCCTGACAGGCTTACAGCTGATGAGTGGAAATTTAGACCCAGATCAGCCAGTCCCCAGGGCCACCTTCCTCATCTCTGGTGTCCCTCTGCAGTGTCAGCCTCCTGCCTCAAGAGTTACTGAGTCTGCAGGGCAGTCCTTTAATTGGTGGCACCTTGGGTGCCAGGTGAGAAAGTGGTCACCTGACCCAGCAGGGATAGGTTGGCCTGAGAATCCACATTTTCTCACATAGTAAGCTCCTGGGTGATGTGGATGCAGCAACTGGCTCTGGCCCCTTGAGAACCATTGGTCAAGACAGGCCTGACCCACCTGAGCCCCCCCCCCCTTCGCCACAGGTGAGTGAGGGATCCTGGAGCCCCCTTTTGTGAATTTGCATACAGATAATCCTAAGGGAGAAGCCTGGATCTGTGTGCTGTTTCCTGCTCTTCACATGTGGCTTGTATGCTGCCCAGGACATTCGGCACTTTAGGTTTTTCTTTGACCTTTCTTCAGGGCGATCCACAGATGTCTCACCTCAATAGTGATGTAGTATTTTGTGCTACAGGTGTGTTACAGTTTTATGTATGCCTTATCCCCTGATGGGTGGTCTTTCATATTTGAGACATTATAAATAACCCCCTAAAATGCCTAGGGACATGAGTGTTTCACAAAAACCTGGTAATTGCTCAGTATTGTCAGCCATTATTAACCCTTCCTTTTGTTTCTGGGTGTTAGCTTTAAGAACCTCCTTTGCCTGTGGGGACAGTGCATAAAAGAATTAACAGTTTACAGGCTCTACTGAAAAATCTTCAACAAAGCAGTTTTAAGAAGAGGAGAGAGGTGCCCTGTGGACAGGGTCCTGAGGGCTGAGTGGAAAAGCTGAGGAGAGGGCAGGAGGGAGCTCTGCCTCAGGCCTGGCTTACCTATCACTGGGCTTAACTGAAATGGGGCAGATCTTTACATTTGTCAGCCATTTGGCAAAATTGGGCCTTGCAGGATCCAGATCTACAGCTTCATGAATAAGAGGGTTCTTGGCTGGGCCTAGCCATGCTCTACTCTGATCACCTCCTTCCTTCCTGTCTCCTCAGGGTGGTGGATCCGGGGAGGAGCAGCTGTGTGCTGACTTTCCAGAGCTCGACCTGTCCCAGCTGGACACCAGCGACTTTGACACAGCCGCATGCTTTGGGGAGATGCAGTGGTGCCCAGAGCCTTCAGAGACAGAGTCCAGCCAGTACAGTCCTGATGACCCCGAGCTCTTCCAGGTGGGCTGTGCCTCTCTGGCTCCTCTGGTGCCCCTCTTCTTTCTCAGGCCCAGGTTCTTGAGACCCTGTTTCCTGCTCTGGATCTGCACCTGGCCTGAGCCAGCTCTTGCTCTCTTACCTGACCTATTTTACCACCTCCAGAAAGAGACTGGAATGACCTGCTCCCTCTAAGCCTCCCAAGCAAAAGCAAACTTCTCTGTGAGCCAGAGTCTCCAAGTACTCTGTGCTCACATTATCTCATTGAATCCTTAACCCCTCTCCTATGAGGCAGGCGCCATTGGGGAAACTGAGGCTTGGAGAAGTTGGTCAAGTCACCTTCTCAGTAGCTAGACTGTATGTAACTCAAGTCACCTCAGTAAACCAGACCCAAACTCTGAGCTGAGGATTGCCATGATTTGGAAGCCAGCCTTGACTACCAATTGAGACTTTGTCTCAACAAAACAAAACAAAAACCAGAAAAACAGGAGCTGGAGAGTTGGCTTAGGGGTTAAGAATGTTTGCTGTTCTTCCAGAGGACCCAAGTTCAATTCTCAGCACCCACATTGGGTTGCTTAAAACCACCTGTAACTCTAACTCCTGTGGATTCAACACCCTCTTCTGGCTGCTACAGGCACCTGCACACATGTGCATAGCAACACACAGACACATACATACACATAAATAAATCTAAACAACAACAAACTCAAAAAAGAAACCAAAACATCATCAACAATGAAAATCCAACCTGCTGCTTCCTGAGCCATGGCTTTATGGTCAGGACTCTGGTGTGGGGCCTGCAGTACTGAGCACCTCTTTGCAGGACCGTTCCTGTCTGTGTATATTAACTAATTTTTCTCTCAACAGCTCAAAGGTTTTTGTCCTGGTTTGTTTCTTCATTGCTGTGACAAAACACTCTGACCACTACCAACTTGGGGAGGAAAGGGTTTGTTTATCTTACATCTCCCAGGTCACACGCAGTTCATCAGGGAGCCCAAGGTAGGAACTCAGGGCAGGAACCTGGAGGCAGGAGTTGGAGCACAGGCCATGGAGGAACACTACTTACTGACTTGCTCCCCTGGCCCCTGCTCAGCCTGCTTTCTTATGTAACACAGGCCCACCTGCCCAGGGGTGGCACCACCCACAGTGGGCTGGGCCCTCCCACATCACTCATCAAGAAGATGCCCCTCAGACATGGCCACAGGCCAGTCCAATAGAGGCAATTCCCCGATTTAGGCTCCCTCAACCCAGGTGTATCAAGTTGACACTAAAGCTATCCAGCACAGTTTTTTGAACAGAAAGTAGTACCAAGACCCACTCACTCTATAGAGGTCTCTCAACCCCTGTGCTTGGGTGCCTAGCCTCAGGCACTTGATGGGTGGCAGTCCCTTTGAGAAGTCGTCTGATAGAATAATGCATGAGATATCTGGTGTGTGCTTCAGAATAAAGCAAGCTCTGCAGACATTTGCATATGTGTGGGGCTGTCTGCATGGAGGGCCACAGATGAAATGAGACTCGTGTGTTGAAGCTGCCTGACGTAGCCTTCGGATTCATTCTTCTTTTCTTGACGTCTTCTCCATGGAGATAAGGAGCAGATGCTTTTGCTGTGTGTGCCTCTGTAGCAATAGAGCACATGCCATGTGCACATACTATGCTGGTATGCCACTGTGCCATCTCAAATGGTCCCACAGATGGATGTTATCAGACCTTCCAGGGCAGCACATCAAGCTTCTTTTTTTCTGTCAGGCATTGAAGCCATCAGACTCATAGTCTGGTGGGGGGAAACATCCCTAGATTAGAAAACATATAAGCCAACAGCAGAGACTGTTCCAGGGCACAGGGCAGAGAAGAGATTGCACACAGGTGTCAGGAAAGGCCACTTGCATTTAGCCACAAGATGGGGAAGAGCAGAACCAGTGATCCTGCCTGAAGACCCAGCAGCAGGAAACTTGCTGTCCTGGAACAAAGGCTAAGGGAAGGGCTAGGAGAGAAGGTCAGGCAGTGGGCAGGACCTCCAGGAAGTCTCTACACCTTGCCAAAAAAAAAAAAAAAAAAGAAAAAAAGGATTTTTAAGACTATTCTAACCTGTAAGTTATACATTACTAATAACCCATTATTATTTATAACCCTTTTTATAAGTGACAGAAGTAAAGTCCAGGGAGCTGATGTAACTGGCTCAAGGTTACCCAGATAGGAAGGCTCAGGGCAAAGGTTCTAACTGTAGAGTCTACAACCGTGTACTGCTGTGTGGATCCCCTTTGCTAGCCTGAGTGCTGGACATAGGCTCTGGCTCCATCCAAGATCTTGGGGGGCGGAGTGCGTGTGTACATGCATCATACATGTGAGCCAGAGGACAACCTCAGGTATCATTCCTCAGGCACTATACATCTTGTTTTTTGAGAGTGCCTCTTTCATTGTCCTAGAACTCACCAAGTAGCTAGGCTAGCTGGCCATTGAACCCCAGGGATCTACCTGTCTTCACCTCCTCAGCAGTGGGCTTATAAGCACACGCCATTACTCCCAACTTTTTTTATTTTAACGTGGGTTCTGAGGCTTGAACTCAGGTCCTCCTTCTTGCAAGGCAAGTACTTTGCCAATTGAGCTATCTCCCCAGTTCCCTCCATTAAACAAACAAAAATCCCTAGAAAATGGAGACATTGCCTTCTCTATGTTGCCCTCTCTCAGAGTTTTCCAGAAATGCTTTCAGGTTGCAGAGTGCTAATGTGTAAGCAGGGTCAGGCTGCTGGAGACCATCCCCATGAGACTGAATAGCCACCCCCCCCACAACCCTCCTAGCCAGAGCCCTCAGTGAGCTCCGCACCTGTCCTGCCATCACATGAAATGGGTTCAGAGCCAAGTGAGCCTGTTGAGGCTCCCAGCCCACGGATGGAGACAGTCCTTGGAGTTGGCAGAGCTCTGCCACCAGCCCTTCTCTGTGGCCCATACATCCTACCCATTCCCCACAGGCTGTCCATTACACATCAGCATACCTGCTGTAGAGGGTATGACATGATTAGTCTCTTCCCCCTCCCACCACTACCACCCCCTTTGCCATCGTGAGCTCTGGGGCTATGTCTTCATTGTGCATGCTGGGTTCCTAGGGTTTTACCCTGTGTTCAGCACTGTGTGGTACCTTACAGTCATTACCCAGATAAAGCCTTGCACACTCAGTGCTGAGGTTGCTGCTCCTGAGGCATTTAGTCACTTCTACTCTCAGACACACACCCTCTGGCTGTGCTGTCCCCGAAGACTATGGTGTATTTGTCTCTGGGCTCTTGCACGTGGTAAGGGCTCAATTCATAGGTGTTAACAAGGAACTGATTGTAACATTTTCTGCCCTGCTGAGAACCGGGCGCCACCCTTCCAAAGCTGAGACCTGGGGACCACAGGTTCTGATTCTCCTGCTGTGGGCACCATAGAGCATGGTGCATGTATCAGAATCAAATGGCACCATTTCCACAAGGGACAAGAGTGTGTCTCTACAGTTATACAGGTTGACAACCTTTGGGGACATGGGCATTGCTTTCCATTATCTGTGTGTCCCAGAGTTCTTGGGCTGGGCATGGCAGGCACTTAGTGAATGTTTTAGAGTAAGCAGCTGTTGCCATTCTGTGCTGTGTGTCCTTGGCAAGTAGCTTCCTTTGATGGGGCTCCAGTTTCATTTGTGAAGAATGAAGAAGAAACATGGTGGCTCTTGGTGTTAGGGTGGAGGAAGTCACCCAGTCCTTTCAGGTGCTGTGAAATAATGACCCTCTCAGAAAATGGTGTGTGGGGCAGCGGGTGACTTCCTGAGTATCTCCAGATCCACTGAGGCTCTTGGACAGATGAGGATCTCCATGTTCTTCAGCCCTAACTGCTCCATTCCTTCAAGATCCTCCAAGGCCCCAAATGGAGTATTTCCCTAAGGTTTCTCAAAGGCTCCTTTTCCTCCAGCTTGAGATGAGCTGAGGAAGGCTGGGGGCGGGGCAAGGCTATTAATATCCCTTCCTCAGCTGATTAACTCTCCATTAATTTGCACTCCATTTCTAAGCTGAGCAGGGGGAGCGAGCTAATAGGCCCAGGCAGAGGTGAGGAGGCCAGCTCCAGTGATGTTCTAAGGTGCCTACAGGGCAGCCAGGAGGCCTAGAGGAAGCCATGGCAGTGTGGGCAGGGTGTCCCATCACTGTGGCTTGTGTCCAGCCTCATGGCTGTGCCTTGTGGCCTCTGTCATTTTGTGCTCACTGGTTGGATTGACGTTCTAAGTCTCAGTTCTTGTCCTTGACCCTTGCCCTGGCTGACTGTGGAGCTCTGACAGGTCTCTGTTCTGGGGCCTCAGCCTACCTGTGGAAAGAATGGCGGGCAGGCATCCCGAGGACACCAGCTATGAGGGTTGTTGCCTAGAGTCCTGTGTCACCAAAGATCAAAGGAATCAGTGCCCCAAGTGATAGAAAGAGCTGGACTACACATGCCACGTGCTTGACACCCCTGGTCCCTGGATCACCCTGCTCCTAGTTTTGATGTGTGATAATTTGTAGCACTCCTGGGACTTCTTATTCCACCCAGCAATGATGTCATTTCTGGTGACTCCCCTCTAAATCTGCCTCTGAGACTGAGCACAGCTGTTTCCCTGTTGTTCCTTGTCTGTTTCGTTCAGTCCTTCATTTAACAGCTTTGCTGCTTCCCACGCCCCAGACTTGGAGTAGGAGACACGATGGGGTCATTCCTCCCCTCATGCAACATCTCCGGGTCCACCCTAGTGGTGGCAGAAAGAGCCCCATGTGACCATCCCCACATATCACTGGGCCCCAAATTTCAGGATCTTACTCTCCCACCAAGCTGGCAAATTGTTCTGGAAACAGAGCCTTGGGGGTCTGGTTTAGGGGTGGGGCATGTGAGTCCTTATCCCTTTTTAGATCTGGAGACCATGGGCCCCTGGCTCAGACCCACTAAGATCTCCTTTTGACCTTTCTTTTATTCTTAGCTCAGTTCTAAAAATTACACATCTATTCTCCTCTCCCCAAGTCCCCTCTTTGTTACTCAGCTGCTGCTCTGGCCTCCAGGCCTGGAACAGATTCAGTGCAGCCGAAAGGCCGTCACAAGATGAGTATTTCAGATGAACTTCCTGAAGAAAAGATAAACAGCCCGACCTGGGATGGGAAAGTGCCGGGAAGGGACCATGTGACATTGTGTATTTTTGCCAGCACAGGCTCAGGATGGTCAAGATTACTGACTGAGGTGCGTGGCCTCATCTAGAAGCCATGCGGTCCCTGTTCTCAACCTCTGGCATGGGCCTGAGGGCTAGGCCCCTCAGGGGTTACAGGCAGTAGGAAAGGCCGAAAGCCCTCGTTAGTTTCTACAGGGACACATAGTCTAGACCCTGGCTCTGCCTAATAGATACTTGGTAGGTGACCGGTTTTCTCCCCTGCAAAATAGAGATTAGAGTTGTGCTCCCCTTGTAGGGGTATTGGGTGAGTTCTTGTGGTGCTTTGGTAGAGCCTTCCTGTCCATCTCATGGCTGGGCCTCCCTTCACCCTAGGTCTCCCCTCCTCCTGAACCTTGTGTTCCTCGCCCTTTGCCTGGCTGCTGCAGCTTGTGTCAGAGAAGCCTTTCTGACCACCATAGGCAGCCTGCAGTTGTCCAATTCTTTCTTCCTACCCTGGCCTCTGCTGGCTTCCTCCAGCTTCCCACACTCTGAAATGCACTCACTTGTTCTCTTGTCTAGCTCCACTCGCCACCGGAGTCCAAGCTCTAGGAGGGCAGAGAGCGTGGTGGATTTGGTGTACTGGATGACCAGTGTCCAGTACAAAGCCGGAGGCAGCACAGCTTGTGGATAGATGAGGAAGGAAGGAAGCAGGCTAGGGGATTGGCCTCCATCATTGTCACTGAGATGATGGTGGTGTAGTTTGTCGTAGTACTGCTTTGTGCCAAGCACTGTTTTCTAAGCATCTTACCTACTGCCACTGCCATAGTCCTCAACAAGAACTCCTTGGAGTAAGTCCTATCTGTTTACCCAATGCCAGGTGAGGACTAACTTGTCCAGGAACCCACAGTTGGTAAGTGTAGGTTCTGGGATGAAGTGAAAACTTCAGAGCCCAAGCTCCTAGCCACAGCACCCACTGCCAATCCCTGAGTGAGGAGAAGCGCAAGTCTTGTGGTCTCACAAGAAGTTGACTGTTCACCATTGCTGTGGTTATTACTGCCACTATTGAGCCCCTCAGGCATTCAGTCTCTGCTCTGCCCTGGGCCCCAAGCTTAAAGGGGCTAGAGTGCTGCTGTGAGTGATGGAGAGGAGCTTGAGTCTTTGATAGTGGAAGCAAGTGTCTTTAGATCGAGCACCTTCTGCCCAGTCCCAATGAGCAGCACAGTCAGGACTAGGACTCTAGGTTGGGCCTTTACTGTAGCTGCCTGCTTATTAAATTCTGTGGTTCTTGGAGTTGGCAGCCTGTTTAAAGGCCATGTGCTATCCCAGAAATACTAAGCAGATCTGTCGGAACAAGAGGCTGGGGGGTGGCAGGAGGGTAATGATGGTTCGCCAGCGTGGTAAGAGCAGGTTTCCCGCCCGAAGACGTCTAGGTCCTCTGCAGTGACTAACACCCTCTCCTCTTCCCCTCTCCATGTCTTCTGTCCAGATTGACAGTGAGAATGAAGCTCTCCTGGCTGCGCTCACCAAGACCCTGGATGACATCTCTGAAGATGATGCGGGGCTGGCTGCCTTCCCAGGCCTGGATGGAGGAGACAGGCCATCCTGTGCCCCAGCTTCACTTGCTCCTTTATCTGTGCCCCCCAGCCCCGCCCTAGAGAGACTCCTATCTCCAGAGTCTGAAGTGGATGAGCTCTCACTGGTAAGGACCACAGCCTGGGACTGGGTGTCAGGTTGTAGGCTAGTCTGGCGGAGCCACCAGCTCTAGTTCCATCAGGGTCTCTGAATATTGAGGCAACATGGTTTCTGCAGAACCTGGGCTTGGAGGTGGGAGGCCTCCCACACTTCCTGCCTGAACAATGTTTATCCTAGTTCTGTTTTAAACCTTGAGATTACATACAAATATCTTCACAAAATAGCATACGTAGGGTAGAAATCTAAGCAGAAAACAGGAGCATAAACAGTTAAAAGCAAACCCTCCTAGCCCTCTCACAATTGCTTTTTCCTTCCCCAGAGGTAACCATGGTTACTTTAAATCTGTTAGATGACTTTCCTCTTCACCTTTTTTTTAAACTACAAAATGGATCCAGCATTCTAGATGATTCTGTACCTTTCTCTCTCACTGAATGTGGGTCTTGGAAACTCTTCAGATGAGTGTGTGGTACTCTGTCTCTGCCTTGTTGGCTGTGTAGTACTCCCAGGTAAAGATGTACCATCATGTATTTAACCATTTTCCCAGCTGATGGACATCCATGTTGCTCACCAATCTATTTCATACATAGTCACTGGCTGCAAAGGGCTTTGCCCCATGATAAATAGATACGTTCCTAGAAATGAAGTTTCTGGGACTGTGGATACGTGATCTTTCTAGATTGCTTTTCAAAGAGACTGGGCCAGTTTTCAGACTCCTGAATACAAACAAGTTAAATGCTGTGTGAGTGTGTGTGGAGTATGGAAATGTGGGGAGAAGAAACCAACTCTGACCATGCGTGCAGGGTCTAGACCTCGCAGGTTACCGAGGGTGCTTGCCCAGGGTCTAGACCTCACAGGTTACCGAGGGTGCTTGCCCTGGATGAATGTGTTCAGTCTCACATCACGGCTCCTGCTCATGGGATCTTGCTTCCTTTCGGACCGCTTGGATTTAAATCTTTGCCCTGACTGTGATCTAAATCCCTGTTTGTGGGTCCTTAGGCACACCCCCCCCCTTAGCCTCTCACTGACATAACTTTCTGACCCATGGGCCTGGGTCAAAGGCTATTGGGAGGATTGCAGTGGATAATAATGCCCGGGGAGCACTTAAAACAGTGTCTGGGTACACAGACCTGCCCAGAACACATTGGCTAAGTCAGAGTCCAAGCACAGCCTTTAATAGTAATAACAATTCTCAGTGCCATTTCCGTACCAGGCCTCTGCAGAAGGAGGTGACCCTGGCATGGGAAAGAGCGACCCCTGCTGGTCAGAACTTGCCGCCTTTCCATGCCTTAGGCTCTGCTTTCATTGCACACAGGTTGCCTGAGTACTTGTTTTCAGGCACTCTTACTGTCTACAGACTTACTATCTAGTTTCCTAGCATACTGACAGCTCTGGAAGGGCCCTGAGAAACCACCTGGGCCTAGGTCTTGCCTTGGATCCCAGAGAATCCACCTATGGACTTCGAAGACCTACATATCTGTATATCCTGAGGTCAGCAGCATTTGTTAGACTCTTAGAGGTAATACCCCACCAGGCGTGGTGCTGCACACCTTTTATCCCAGCACTCGGAAGGCAGAGGCTGGTGGATCTCTGTGAGATAAAGGTCAACCTGGTCTACATAGTAAGTTCTAGGCCAGCTGGGGCTTTAGGGAGACCCTATCTCAAAAAGACAGAAAAAAAAGAAGGAAGCTTCAGATGCAATCATTTTGTCTCCCAGCTCCTGGAGTCAATGCAGAGAAGGAAATGGCTTGCCCAAGGTATCACCTGGTGTAGGGCTGAGGTACCCTAGACCCAGCTCTCATTCCTCTAGTCCAAGGGTCTTCCCCATCAAAGTCACAAGTATATATGTGTTGGCTGTGGTCTAGGTGACATGGCAGGACTCTTCAGTTTTTCCATGTGGGGTGTGTGCTTTCTCTGGCATGCCCACCTTTGGTGCTCTCTGCAGGGAAGGCTCTCAGGTAGATGTACCTGTTGGCAGTGGCCAGAAGCAGGGGACCTTCAACAATCTTTATTTAAAACTTAGCTGAGCACTAGGGAAGTAACTCAGTAGGTAGAGTGCTTGCCTTGCCTTGCACTCATGAAGCCCTGGGTTCCCTCCCCAGCACCCCATAAAACTGAGCATGGTGGCCTATGCCTGAAATCTCAGTACTTGGGAGATGAAGGCAGGAAGATTAGAAATTCAAGTCATACTTGGATACATATTGATTTGAGACCAGCCTGGACTACATATGACCCTGTCGATCCCTCAAAAAATTAGTTGAAGAAAGATCAAACTAAAGTTTAGCATTGCATTCTTCTACCTATGAAGAAACATCTGGGTGGGTTGGTGTGTGTGTGTGTGTGTGTGTGTGTGTGTGTGTGTGTGTGTGGTGTGTGTGTGTGTGCGTTCTTGCATAATTAAAACTCACCTCAATGACAGACCCACAAGAGAATAGTTAGTGGGAGTTACGTCTGGGAAAGAGAAAGGACCTCGGGCAGAAAGGAGATTTGCTTTTAATTGTCTACCTTTTGGCATTTGCGGGTTGTGTGTGTGTGTGTGTGTGTGTGTGTATACATATATACATTTATATATATAAATACACTTGCATATATATGCACACACACATAGTCAACATTTGTGAGTAATACTTATTTAATTAATACATTTTTTTTAATGGTCTTTTTGAGATGGGGTCTCCCTGTAGCCACAGCTGGCCTGGGTTCACTATGGAGACCAGGCTGGCCTCGAACTCACAGAGATCTGCCTGCCTCTGCCTCCCAAGTGCTGGGACTAAAGACATGTGCCACCACACCCAGCTGAAGAAATACATTTTTTTTAAAGGTAGGCTTTTCCTCTTAAATATTTTATTTACTATTTTTATTTTATGTGTGTGTGTATATTGCCTGCATGTAGGTAGTGCACCTGTGTCATGCAGTGAATGCCTGTGGAGGACAGAAGAGGCTGTCGGACTGGAGTTATGGACAGTTGTTAGCTGCCATGTGGGTGCTGGGATTCGAACCTGGGTCTTCTGCAAGAACAGTCAGTGTTCTTAACTACTGAGCCATCTCTCCAGCCCCAAGAAATACATTTTAAAATGTCTCATGAGTGCTGGACGAATGACTCCATGGTTAAGAGCACTGGCTGCTCTTACAGAGAACCTGAGTTCAATTCCCAGCACACTTATGGCAGCTGACTCCTGTAACTCCAGTTCCAGGAAATCTGACACCCTCTTCTGGCCTCTATGGGCACTGTACATACATGGTACACTTACATACATGCACACAAAACACTCATACACATTGAAAATAATAACAAAAAGAAGTAATTCTTAACCTGTCATATGAACAAAGGAGAAATCAACTAGAATCCCATGTGGGAGAATCATTTTGGTATATAACCTTCCAGTCTGTATGTCTATTACAGGCATTTTCAGAGTGAACCAATACTGTTTTAACAGCAGAATAAGTAGGCTTTATCCGAACCTGTTGCTCCTAGGTTGTTGACTCCATTGTTAGTGGGGTGATGGTGTTTAATATGGTCTCCATGCTTCCCCCCCAACCCTAGCCAGGGTGTGGTCAGTCCCCAGCTGACATGTGCCCTTTGTCTCTAAGCATGCATGGCCCCATCCTTTCTCCCTCTGCCTCTTTCCAGCTGCAGAAGCTCCTCCTGGCCACATCCTCCCCAGGAGCAAATTCTGACGCTCAGAAGGACGGGGCCGCCTGGCGCCAGGCCAGCCTCAGGTCCAGAAGTCAGCAGCCTTGTGTCAAGGTATTTCTGCATATGCCCAGAAGTGGTCTGGGCCCCCAGGTGGAGTAGCAGATTCTGTGTACCTCGGTTACCTTCTTGTCCTTACACAGGCCTTGCTGAGCTAATATCTTGGCACTGTTTCTTGACAGCAGCACAGTCTGAGGTTCTAGAAAGCCCTGTACTTAGTCACACTTAGTGTTTCAGGTGCCATGAGATATTGACATACATTAGAGCAGGGACAGGAAGGCAAGGCCTTCCTTCCATAGGGCTCACAAACTAGTGGTGGCGGGTCGGGTGGGCAGACAGACAGGAACAGGATCCTCACTGGTTGTGGAGGCCACAGTCCATATTGCACTGGGGTTTGGGAATTTCTTTTTTTTTTGCAGAGCCGCTGGCCACTTTAGAGTCCTGCACCCCAAGGGTTGAGTTGAGTCCCCCTTTCGACCTGGGCCCCATCTTCAGGCCTCGGAGGTGAAACAGTTGATTTCCAAGGGTGGCTGCTCCTCCCAGGACCCTTTGCAGACCATGCCATATTCCCACCCTCCGGGTGGAATTGGGTGCTTGGTACATAATGGGTCTGTAGGAACCTCTCTGTCACCAGCCTTTTTAGGGATGGGCCTGGGCCCTGTGCTCCCTTGTTTTGTCCTGGCTGGCCTGAAATATAGTGCCTGCCTCCTGAACTTGAGGCCCAACACAGTTGGAAATTCTAGAAAGAGCCTGGAATTTCTGTAGCTAGGTGAGACATACCTGGCAGCCCTATGGTAAAGGCCTAGCAAGAGAGAAAAAGGGCAGCCAGAAAAAGGGCAGGTAAGAGGGACAGGCAGAGCTGGAGCAAGAAGTGGGCTGGTGCCTGTGTCCCGTGGCAGAGGCCTACTCCCTTCTTTGTGGGTACTGGGGAATAGTGAATTTTTCTCTTTTCATAACTTTATTCAAGTGCTGTTTACATATTGTAAAAGCCACTCTTTTTTGGTTTTTGTTTTTTCCTTTCAGATGAGGTCTAGCTATGTTACTCAAGCTGGCCTCAAATTCCTGGGCTCAAGTGATCCTTCTGCCTTAACCTCCTGAGTGGTAGGACTGCAGACATTTGTCACCATACCAGGCTAAGAGCCACCTATTTTTTTTTTTTTTGAAACAGGGTCTCCCTGTAGCCCCAGCTGTCCTGGAACTCACTATGTAGACCAGGCTGGCCTTGAACTCACAGAGATCCACCTGCCTCTGCTTCCCGAGCGCTGGGATTAAAGGCGTGCACCACCACGCCAGGCAGAGCCACCTATTTTAAAAATACAATTCTGTGATTTTTAGTAAATTTAAAATCAGCAGTGATGACTACAGTCCAAATAATGGACATACCCATTGTTCCAGAAGGATCCCTGATGCCCTTATTTATAGTGAATCTTTCTGAGGTGACACCCACACCTGTTCTGGCCGTATTTCTGGAGAGCATGGGATAGGGGCACAATGGTTAGTGCAGGTTTTGGCTGTGTATCTGGAAGGGTCTTCAGGAGCTCCAAGACTGGGAACCTTGTAGAAGGCTGGTTGTCTCTTTCCTCACTGACCCCATTTGCCAAATGCTGGCAGGGGGTGAAGTGAAGGAACAGGCTGTTCCTACGATCCTGGTGAGAAACACTGGGTCTTCTGGCCACCAGAACAGGAAGAGCCACCAGAACAGGAAGAAGGAGGCTCATTCTGGCATCTTTCCCTCTCCAGGTGGACAGCACCCAGGACAAGAAGCTCCCCGGGCTGCGTTCTCATAGTCGGGCTTGTACAGAACTGCATAAGCACCTCACCTCGGTGCTGCCCTGCCCCCAAGTGAAAGCCTGCCCCCCAACCCCATGCCTAAGTTCCCCACTCCTCTCCAAGGAAGATGATGAGGCAGGGAAGGACTGCTCAAGCCCCTGGCCAGCTCTGGCCTCTCCCCAGGACTCTCCAGCACAGGACAGGACCAGCCCCAGCAGTGCCCAGGCTCCCCAGGAGGACATGCAGGTCATGGTAGAACTCATTCGCTACATGCACACCTACTGCCTGCCCCAGAGGAAGCTGCCCCCAAAGGCCCCAGAGCCAGTCCCCCAGCCATGCAGCAGCCCCTCCAGGAAGGTCCCATCCCGGCCCCGAAACCGCACCAAAACCTCCTGGACTGAGTTTTCTATCCTGAGGGAACTTCTAGCCCAGGATGTCCTCTGCGATGTCAGTAAGCCCTACCGCCTGGCCACACCTGTCTATGCTTCCCTCACACCTGGGTCCAGGCCCAGGCCCTCCAAAGACAACAAGGCTCCCCCTGCCTACTCTTCCCTGGCAGAAGAGGTGAGGATCACGGCTTCCCCCAGGAGTGCTGGGCCCAGACCCAGCCTGCGCCCTCTCAGGCTGGAGGTGAAACGGGATGTCAGCCGGTCTGCCAGGCTGAAACAGGAAGAAGAGGAGGAGGAGGAAGAAGAGGAAGAAGAAGAAAAAGAAGAGGAGGAAGAGGAGTGGGGCAGGAAGAGGCCAGGCCGAGGCCTACCATGGACCAAACTGGGGAAGAAGCTGGAGAGTTCTGTGTGCCCTGTGAGGCGCTCTAGGAGATTGAACCCGGAGTTGGGCCCCTGGTTGACATTCACTGATGAACTGCTGGTCCCCTCGGAGCCCCAAGGTCCTCTGCCCTCACTGTGCCTGGCTCCAGAGACCTATGACGTGGAGGAGGAGCTGGGCAGCCCCTCCGATGAGGACAGTGCCCAAGACCAGCAGCTCCTCCAGGGACCTCAGATCCCTGCCTTGGAGAGCCCCTGTGAGAGCGGGTGTGGGGACACGGATGAAGACCCGAGCTGCCCACAGCTCCCTTCCAGAGGTAGTCTGTGGTTCGCAAGAGAGGGTAGAATGGACATGGCATTTCTGATGGGAGCCGGGAGCACAGTGTTCAAACAGTCCCAAGCCTTGTGTGTTGGATGAGGGTCTCTCTGGCTGTCCGCTACCCTTTCCATAAAATGGGCTGTTGGGCAGATCTTTAGGAAAGTACCTGTGAATCTCTGAGTTTTGTCATCATGCATAGCAATGCACTGCTTAATGAATAAGAAGCGAGAGGCCTGCCTCCACTGCCTTAAGTTTGGTAGGGGAGAAGGGCAACCAAAAAGTAGACAAGCCAGGTATGGTGGTGAACACCCTTTAATTAATCCCAGCACTGGGAAGGCAGAGGCAGATGGATGTCTTGACTTCAAGGCCAACGTGGTCTACATAGCAAATTCTAGGCCAGCCAGAGCTACATAGCGATACTGCCTCCAAAACCAAACTAACAACAAGAACAACAAAATCCGAAAACCCTTTAGCCCTAAATACATGTTGTAAACATGGTCAGACATCTTGATCATTTTTGTACTTGGGAGGTAGAGAGAAGAGGTTAGATTTTGAAGCCAGCCTAGGCCATATAGGTTGACCTGTTTCAAATAAACAGACCAAAAGAGATTGAAGCTCAGAGCTGTTTAGTGAAGAGCCTCTCTCCAGAGATACATAGAACCCACATCCAGAGCCCTGCAGTTAGGACTCAGATCTCCTGGCCGCTGTGCTGTTTGGCCAGTAGGGGTTGCCCTCTTTGTAAGGAGTAATAAGAGTAAGGAGGCCCACTGGCCAAGGATGCAAAGTGTCTTTGAGTTACTCCTGACTCATCCCCTAAAATGGCCAAGGCCATGTGTCACCTGCTTGAAGGGCAACTGTGCTTGGAGTTCCCCAGGAGTGTGAGGGCTCCCCAGAAGGGTGGCATGTTTGTGATGGATCTTATGTTTCATTTCCTTCTTTTTTCTTTTTTTCTTTTTGTCTTTTCAGACTCCTCCAGGTGGCTCATGCTGGCCTTGTCACAAAGGTAGATTTTAGAAATAATTGACATATTCCATGAGATTTTGTCTTGTTGAATTTGTGTTTTAGGGTAGGAGATCATCAGCCCTGTCCCCAAGCCTTGCTTTGATTGCCATCTCCAGCTCTCAGGAGCCCGACTCTTTCGAAGGGAGTTTGTTTTAGACAGTAGCCTCTGTAGGCCATCTCATAAACCGTTCTTCCAGGACTCTGAAGAGAATTCTTCTCTCTGTTGGGGGCGGGGGGATCTGACAATGCTGTGGGACTTACAAGAGTGAGTTCCTTACCCTCTGGTCCTTAGTTGCTCCATCTATAAAGCAAGGAATCTGATGATGCATACCCTGTCTTTCCTCTCCATCAAACTTTGCCTGGATTGCCCAAAACCTGTTCAATTTGAATTCCTCTAACTCCTGGCCCCTTTCTATGGCAGCAGAGCAGGGTTCTCCAGAGTGTCCCTTATTTCCCTTGAATGCTTGGGGCCGTAGAAGCCTGCTACTGACCAGCCTCTGCTTTCTGCCCTCCCTGCCCCCACCAGTGACCCTCCTTTTGGCAAGAAGAGCTTTGAGCAGTCCTTGACAGTGGAGCTTTGTGGCACAGCAGGTGAGCCAGAGGTTCAGAGGGTGGGCTGCCCTTGGGGAGCTGGCAAGGCCTCCAGCCAGGAGTCCCCCCGATACAAGTACATGTAACCACTGAGCTCAGGCAAGAGCCCTCTTGGCCACTGCCCCACACACTACCCTGGCATCGAGATACACAGGGAACATATTGTGAGGAGGGTCAAGGCCTGGGACCAACCCTTCCCCTCCCTGTTGGTGGCAGTAGGTAAGGTGATACCGAGGTCAGAAAACAGACACAGCTCTTCCCTGGAGGCACCCATGGTCTGGTGGGCTAACCCCCTCAGGAGCACCGTCAGACTTGCACGCGTTTCAGAGTATGAGACCAAACTCTGGGAGCCTAAGAGGGTCAGTGTGGCTTGGTCAGACTGTGGGACACCTAGCACAGGGAACACTGAAGCTGGGCTTGAAGAAGTAACATGTGTCAGGAAGACAAGGGAAGGGTATGCCCAGCAACAGAACTGGCACAGGTAAAAACATGACAGACGTTCATATGCATCTGACTTGCTGGTCACCTGGGCCTGCCATATGGAAGAAGTAGGGGTGGGGGAAGAGCAGCCCAAAAAGGAACAAAACAGGCACCTGGGGCTTGGGCAGTACAGAGTAAGAGATGAGTGCTTCAGCGGATTTGTATGGTGCACTGGAGAGGACGGGCCAGTGTCAGATACAGGAGCATCCAGGGCACTGTGGTGATCAAATCCAGGTGGATAGTTTTACCAGCGGTACCTACTTGCTCCATGCTGGGGAGGGGAGACTGAGACAGGCCTCTTTGAATGACTTAGGGGTAGAATAGGGACAGGTCTCTGACCTGGCTTACTAGCTGCCATTAACAAGCCACCAGAAGGGTAGCAAAGGGATTTTTCAGGCCGCTCACAGACTCTGGTAGTAGTGTTGGTGATCGGTTTGTGATGCCTGCCATCCATCTGTTGGAATACAGTGGCATGAAGCTACTGTTTTGTCATCCCAAACTGAACTCTCAGTGTTCCTTGGGGTTACCTGCCTCCCCTGACATGTTTCTCCTCTTGCTTGGACAGGACTCACCCCACCTACCACACCTCCATACAAGCCCACAGAGGAAGACCCCTTCAAGCCTGAAACCAAGCACAGCCCAGGTCAAGACACAGCTCCCAGCCTCCCCTCCCACGAGGCGCTCCAGCTCTCAGCCCCTCCCGCGGCCTCCCAGAAGCTGCCCAAGAGGCACCCAGAGAGGAGCGAGCTCCTGTCCCACCTTCGGCATACCACAGCCCAGCCAGCCTCCCAGGCTGGCCAGAAGCGCCCCTTTTCCTTCTCCTTTGGAGACCATGACTACTGCCAGGTGCTCAGGCCAGAAGGTGCCCTGCAGAGGAAGGTGCTGAGGTCCTGGGAGCCATCTGGGGTCTGCCTGGAGAACCAGCCCCAGCAGGATACCTCCCTGCAGGCTGAGACAAAGACCCTTGGGAGGGAGGTAGACCAGAGCTCTGAATCTCTCCCCAAGGACAGCATGCAGCTTCGAGACCATGAGATTCGTGCCAGCCTCACAAAGCACTTTGGGCTGCTGGAGACTGCGCTGGAGGATGAAGACCTGTCCTCGTGCCGAAGCCCTGAGTACGACACCGTGTTTGAGGACAGCAGCAGCAGCAGTGGCGAGAGCAGCTTCCTCCTGGAGGAGGAAGAGGAGGGGGAGGAGGAGGATGGAGAGGACTCAGGGGTTAGCCCTCCTCACTCTGACCACTGCCCCTACCAGAGCCCACCCAGTAAGGCCATTCGGCAGCTCTGTTCCCGAAGCCGGTCAAGTTCTGGCTCTTCATCCTGCCGTTCATGGTCACCAGCTTCCCGGAGGAATTTCAGGTGTGTTTGGTAGCTTCAGGAAGACTAGGGGCAGATGAGCACCCACTGAGTGCCAGGGGAGGAAGGAGCAAGTTCAGAAACTTGCTCTGAAACCAGGGTTGCATCTCCAGGCATGGCCTGGGTCCTTATCAACTGTTAGGTTGGCTCCTCTTGGGGGTGGGAGTTGTGGGAATCTGGACGCTAACAAAGTCTGGCATGGGGCTGTTAGAGAGAAAGAAAACTCATCTTCTGTTTGTCTATGACTATAATCCCAATGAACTTGATCCTTGTTTTTTGCTTTGTATTTGTCAAATGGATAGCTTTTTACACAAACCCACAGACCCACACTAGTTTGAAAGCAAGGTGATGTTAACATGTTTAAAAAAAAAAAAAAAAAGATTAGTGTCATTCCACTGTGTTTTCCGAAAAATACCCAGATGGAAGCAGTGCTGGGGCTTACTCCCAGCTTGGTCCAGCATGGTTTGCAGCTGTGAGCAGACCCTCAAAGAGCCCAGGGACTATGGAGGGATGATGCAGCATAAGCCAGTGTGCACATGCTGTGTGCCCTGGTCCCAGAGAGCGAGCCAGTCCAAACTTCAGCTGAAGAGCTGGCAGAAAGCACGGGGGCCTGGCAGATTTGGGGGAGAGCAGTTCTCCTTTCTCCCATTACAGCAGGTGTCTTGGGGAGGTCTCCAGAAGTTTGTGGGGTTCCTGGCCTTGTGCCTGAAGTATGCCTAGGTGAGCGCTAGATGGCACTCTTGGACCTGGAGCAGAGCCACAGAATCACCTGGGAAGATAAGGCTGGTGTGCTGAGCATCTGATTCTGAGGTGTATAATTTGCGTTTCTAACAAGTTCTCAAGTGACAGTCATCTTGCTGAAGCACCATACTCTGAGACCAGAAAGTTCAGTGTTATGTTCACACATCTCTATCAATGACTCTTAGCTATTCAAAGATCCTATGAAAGCAAAGGCCCCTCCTCCCATCAGACTGCACGTAAACATAAATTGTAGTGACTTCATGAGATCCTCACAAACCAGTGTGTTTCGATTGTCTGTTTCTCCAAATGACTTCCCCTAAGGCTTTGCTGACAAGAGCAGTCTTCTTGCTGGCCTCTGAAACCTTCCTTTCTAGTTCCTTTTCCCTTTCCCAGGAGTGGCCCTTGGCTCATAAAAGGTTCAGAGATGCATAATTGGATGGTTCTATGTCCAAAAAGGACTTAATGGGATCCAGTTGTCTCTACAAATTAGCGTCTGTATTTTTATAGGAAAATATTTCCACCTTGGGAAACTAGAACAGTGTTAGAACAGAGCTTGCATCCTTCCGTTAACTGCCTCGATTCTGACTCTGGACTGAGGAGGCAACTCCTACATACTTACCTACCTCTAATGTCATTTGCCCTTTACAGTAAAGGCCAACCGAGAATTCCTGGAGCTCCTGGGCTCTTCCTCTCCCTCCCAGCCCAGGGTTTGGAACAGGGTCTGCATTCCTACGCTGGAAGAATTGAGACTTCCCCTGAGACTCCATGGATGCCCCAGTTTCTCTTCTCACATGTAGGCCAGGTACAGGCCTGGCTGTTTCTGTTCACTGGAGTGACTTTGTTATCTCGGTTCCTACTCAACTACCTATAGGGAGGGCTTGGAGCCTGACAAGCCTGGGAATCTACCCACAAGCCTCCATCCACAGAACAGATTAACACATTGAGGCCATTTGAATGACACCAACCCAACTCCATGACCCCTTCCAGTCCCAGCCCTCCAGGAAGGAAGGCCCACCAATTCTGTTCCAAATGAATGATAGCCCTTTATTCAGTAGCACCTGAAAGTTAGCAAGGCCCAGTCCCTTCTATATCCCATTGGGGCCTCATGGAGAACATTAGAGAACACATGTGTTTCTTATCCCCATTTTGTAGGAAGCTACAGATAAATAGAAAAACAGAGCACGCATCTACAGAGCAGTACTGGGCCAAGCATTTAAGTGTATTTTCTGATTTAATGCTCACAAATGGCTGGAGCCCAATTGGTTGGGTACCTGTTTTGCAGAGGAAGACGTGAAGTTGAGAGGGTTGGTGAAATTGGCTCAATATCACCCCACGGGAAGGTAGTGGAGCCAGGATTCAAGCACAGACTGTGTGACTCTGGGCTGTGTTTCTCAGGGTTTCTACTTCAGGAGGCAGGCAATGTGTGACCCTGGGAGAACTTGCGGATGATAAGTCTGGCAGCTGGCCAGTCGCAAAGCACTGTGCTGGACATGGCCGGGGTCCGAACCTGCAGAGAACAGTGGTTCTAGAGTATAAGACCTGCTTCTAGCTCCCACTTCTCCTGTTTCTAACTTTGGGAAGATCCTAGCCTGAACCTGAGCCTCAGGTTTTCATCTGGAAAATGGGAACATGTAAGACCTCCTGAGAGTGTGTTTTGTTTTGTTTAAAACAAGGAAGTGATGCTGGGCTTGGTGGCTCAAGCTTTTGATCCCAGCATTACTCTGGAAGTAGAAGCAGGTGGATCTCCGTGAGATGGAGGCCAGCCTGATCTACATATCAAATTCCAGGCCCACTGTGGCTACAAGGAGACACTGGCTCAAAAAACAACAAACAAACAAACAGAACAAACAAAAGATAAGGAAGTGGTGAGAAGACTTTTCCATCCCTAAAGGCAGAAAAAGGTGAGGCCTGGAAGGCAGGGCCAGAATTAGTACTGAGAACTAGCTGGGTGAAGACAGATGACCCGGTGTTCAGTCCCACACAGCCTGAGTGGCATGACTGAGTGGAAGCTGGGTTTCTACTGAAGTGAGACTGAGCACTGTCCCCTAAAGAAGCCTCTTCCACAGGGTGTGGTGGCGTGCGCCTTTACGTACTGATTTAATGCTCACAAATGGCTGGAGCCCAATTGGTTGGGCACCTCTTTTGCAGAAGAAGACGTGAAGCTGAGAGGGTTGGTAAAGTTGGCTCAATATCACCCCACGGGGAGGTAGTGGAGCCGGGCTGAGGCAGGCGGTTTGAGGCTAGGCCAGCCTGCTCTATGTAGTGAGTTCCAGGCCAGCTGGGGCTACTGGGAGACCCTGTCTCCAAAACAAAACAAAACAAAAAAAGAAGCCTTTTGAGGCAGCCCTCCCACTCACCATGTTCCTCGGAGTGAGTGCCTCTGCTTTGCTTTGCTTGTTCACTGACAGATGTGAAAGCAGAGGGTCCTGTTCAGATGGAACCCCAAGTGCCCGGCATGCCAGGAAGCGGCGGGAAAAAGCCATTGTAAGTGACCTGGGGTCCCTGAGCCTCGGGGAGTAAATGGGAGTGAGCTGGGGTGTCAGGAAGAACTGGACCTGTCGGCTTTCACCCCCTGCTTAAGGAATAAGGGACTGATGCAGGACATGACTGCCCCATTTGAAAATCACAAGGGTAACCAACAGCCATCAAAGGTAGCACTATACAAAGTCCAGGCACTTGGCTGGCTGGGGTATGCAGTTAGTAGCCACTTAGGAATCAGCCTCAAGAGTCTTAAAAGAACCAAAATGGAAGATAGAACCAAAATGGAAGATAGTGGGTGTGAGCCAAGATAGGCTGCCCGGGTCACAAGCTACTCCTCCTGTGTGACCCTGGGCAAGTGCCCAGCTTCCCTGTGCCTCAGTTTATTCATCTGTATACAAGAGTTGAGCTTTGTGCTTCCTAAGGGTTTCCCCAACTTGATCCTGGCCCAAGATCAAGCAAGCCTATTCTATCCTCTTTACCTACCTCCAGGATCGTCCCCAGAGCCCAACCCTAGGCCCTGAGATTGCCCACAAAGCTGCCCCTGGGAGTGTGCAATGTGGAGCTAGGCCAACCAGTTATGGCATATCCATAGAAAGGAGAGAGGAGGGGTAAGACAGAAACACAAAAGGACAAGCAGCAGGCCAGCGGGATGACTCAGCAGATAAAGGTGCTTGCTGCCAGCACTGACAATCCGAGTTCAAACCCCAGAACACACACATTAGAGGGAGAGAACCCAAAAGTTGTTCTCTGACCTCTATATAGGTGCTGAGGCATATACCTACACACATACACACACACACATACAAATAATAAATAGTTATTTAAAAAATAGGCTGGAGAGATGACTCGGTTAAGAGCACTGGCTGCTCTTGCAGAGGACCTGGGTTCGGTTCCTAGCACCCACATGGCAGCTAACAACTAATGCCAGTTCTAGGGGATCTGACACCTTCTGGCTTCTGAGGGTACCAGGCATGCACATGGTGCAAAACATTCATATACACAAAATAAATAAATCTTTAAAAAGTAAGAAAACCAAAAAGTACCTTGTGCTTTGGAGGTGAGGGATATGTGAGGGGACACAGACCCCAGAGGTGCATGGCTCTATGCAGCAGGTACTTGGTACTTAAAAATCAAAGGTGAACAGTTTTTTCAGAGCTCACAGGCAATTGATTGTTCAGCAGTTTGACAAGAGTGGCACATCCTTGGCTTTGGGTGGCAGCAATATACAAGACAGATGAGGTCCCCACTCCTGTTGAGACAGAAAGAAAAAGACAGTAAAACAGTGGACCTGGAAGCAAATGGAAGTCAGTGGGGCAGCTCGGGGAGACTGAGAGCCCTGACTAGAATGTCTGAACTTGGCAGTCCTATTTGACCAGCAGGGTGAAGTACTTACATTGGTGACTGAGGAAAGGTGTCCACATGAAGTTTGTCATCAGGGATAAAAGGAGTAACTGGCAGAGTTCAGAGCCTGAGAATTAGAGGTAGAGGCAGCAAGTACTGCAGGAATTCAGGCAGCTGGGAAGAGGGGCTCTCCTTGGACCTGGATGGCCTTAGACATGTTATAGACAGTTCCAGTGACCAGGTGTGCAGTCCCACTATAGAGCCTGGTCCTGGTCTTTATTCCCTGCCATCTGTGGTCAGTGGTGGGTCAGTTGCCTGAAGAGTGGCTACGCCTGTTCCCAGAAAAGGCCTGTCTGAACCACATATTGTCTTGTCCGCTGGAGCACCTATGCCAGCTGCAACCATTAGCAGATCATAGAACTCAAGGGAAGCAAGAGGTTACAACCTGGGCTCCTGATCCATTCCCTCTGCATAGAACCAAACTTGCCTCAAGGTGACCTCCGGGGCACAGTGTCTGTGCTGTTGTTTTTAGCTAACTTCCCTAGTAAACAAAAGATAATGGTAGCTTCCATAGCCCTAATGTATCTGTCTCGTTATCTTTCCTTTTAGTGTGCCCCTGTGAATACCCAAGCCCCCAGTGTATCCTTATCAGCTTGCAGGTTCACCCTGACCTCTCCCTGGCCAGGCTCAAAACAAGTGCCTAGCAGAATATGCAGTTGTGCTGATGGTGTAAATCTGCTCAGTCCCTCTCTTGGGCAGGTGCTTCCCTGGGGGCCATTTCTCTGGCACTCTGTGGTCTCTGACTCCAGCAGCATTGCTGCTCAGCCTGGCCTGGACAGGGACAAGGACTCCAGAGAGCAATAATGGGGCCCCTCTTTGTTTCCTTTGAGCAGGACGAAGGCCGCATGGTATACATTCGAAATCTCTCCAGTGACATGAGCTCTCGAGAGCTGAAGAGGCGCTTCGAGGTGTTTGGTGAGATTGTAGAGTGCCAGGTACTGACCAGAAGTAAGAGGTAAGTAGGGGCCAGCCATTGCGGATAGGGGGGAGCCAGGAGGGATACAGTGCCTGTCCAGGGCTAGGGGCATAGAAGAGACCCAAAAAGATCTGCAGAAACAAGTTTGATGATATACATGGTCTAGACCTAGGGAGCCAGGCAGGAGAAAGATGGATGACCCTGAAACTGGTGACAGCAGTAAACCCTGCTGATGTGTTGTGAAGGGCCAGGCAGTTTACATGCATTCTCTCATCTAAACAGCTAATGCTACTAAATGCCAGCCATTCTTAGTCTTTCTGCTGCAGCTCTCCTTTCTGGTGGTTCTCAGACAAGTTAGCAGAACAGCTCCTTGGCTGAGCCAGGGCTAGAGCCTATGTGCACTTCAGTGCCTTTGTCCCTATAGCAAGTGCCCTTTGATAGGCTGAACATGTTTCATGTTGGGACCTCACAAGGCACATCCCCTGCCACTCACAGGCCCCTTCCTCTGCAGCAAGTCCCAGGGCTCTGACCTGCTAGGCAGCCCTGGCTTCTCCTCGCTCACCTAGGGGAGCAGGTGTCCATCTGTCAGGGAATCTGCAAAAAACCAGGGTTGCTCTTGAATGCTCCTTGCAGACACCAAAGCTTTGTCAATTTTAGACTTTCTAAATGATCTTCTGTTATACCTGCAAGCTCAGCTATTAGGATTTTTTATTTCATTTATTTTTATTTTATGTATATGAGTGTTTTGCCTGCATAGGACTGTAAGTGTACCACGTGTGCAATGCTCTCAGAGGCCAGAAGAGGGTGTTGGATCCCTTGGAATTGGAGTTACAGATGGTTGTTAGCTGTCATATGGTTGCTGAAACCAAACCCAGATCCTTTGCAAGAGCAGCTCTTCACCACTGAGCTTTCTCTCTAGCCCCATTATTAGAATTTTAAGGTTCTAATTTAGCAGAAATAATAATAATAAACTTCATCAAGAAAACAATCTCTTGTGTAATAGTTATTAAGGGTGGCTACTATTTAAAAAAAAAAGAAAAAAAGAAAATCCATGTTGGTAAAGATGTAGAGGAAATGGAACCCATATGAGATGTTGGTGGAGATATAAAATGCTGTAACTAAAAAAGTAAAAGTAAGCATAGAACTTCTATTGATCCAGAAATGCTACTTATATGTTAATATATTCAAAAGAAGGACTGGAGAGCTGGCTCAGTGGTTAAGAACACTGTCTGTTCTTGTAGAAGACCCGGGTTCAAATCCCAGCACCCACATGGCAGCTAATGACTGTCCTTTCCAGGGGATCCGACTCCCACTTCTGGCCTCCACAGGCATTGCATGACATGGGTACACTTACACACATGCAGGCAATACACTTATACATACTAAATAAATAAAAATAATAAATAAAATATTAAAAATATATATTCAAAAGAATTGAAAACAGTATCACAATGAAATTCTGGAAAAATGCTGTTTACATTTACATCATGTACCTTAAGTAGTCATATAGAGACAGACTGTAGAATGATTGTTGCAGGAGGCCCAGAGAGTTAATGGAGATGTTGTTTAATGGATATAAAGTTTGCTTTTTAGAAGACAGACTACCATAGATCATACCAAGTATGGTGGCACACACCTGTAATCCCAGCACTTGGAAGGTATGAGGACCGAGAATTGGAGGACTTGGATACATAGCAAGTTCAAGATTAGCCTGGGCTCTACATAGTAAGGCCTATCTCAGAAAAACAAAGCAAACCAAAGCTTTTAAAGAGACTCATTGTACAACAGTGTGTATCTGTTTAACACTACTCAGCTGTACAGCTAAAATGGTAAATTTGGTATTGTATATTTTTAACCATAATTTGAGTCATTACACAGAATTTTGCAAAGTTTATGCAGTCTTCAGGATATCATGCAAACACAATAACAGAAAAACAAAACAAACATTAATCTCCAAAGAGAAGAGTCAGTTTGTTAAGACTATAAAAGTGCATAAACTTTTTAAAGGGGAGCCTTGGACATACCACTGTTTTCAAACCTTCATGGAGGCAGAAGGGTTTCAACTTCTCCCTAGTTGAGACAGGCATCAGCACATTGATTCCTGTGGATGTTTATGGGACTCTCGTCCTTGGCCTAATCAGTAGAGGCCTGCAACTTTGTTTTGGGGCTCAGGGAGATTTATCAGTCCGATTCTTTGCTCGTTGGTAGAGCTGAAATGTCAGGGCAGAGCTGCATGCTTCCTAGGTTATCTCTTGGTTGTAGAGTGTCTGCCTCTAGCACTAAACTTACCTGTTAGCAGCTTAGAGACCCTGGGGAAACAGGAGTCACCTTACAGTTCAGGCAGAGATCTGAGATAGCTCCTTTGGGGTTTAGCTTTGGGTAGTAGGTTCATCCTTGAACTAATCACTATTTGAAGGAAGACCACTGTCGTGTGACTTTCCCCCTGATACTTAGACGGGGGTGGATACTGAGCAGGCAGCCTAACAGATGTCATCTGTGTATGATAAGTTGGGTCTGAAGTATCAGCAGTATTAGGGGCTGAAGTTGGCCAAGTTGGCCACCAGGAAAATAAAGGCTGAGGCTGTCTTTGAAGAGTACAAAGGATAGTAAGGGGAGGAGCCATAGCAAACAGGGATGATGGGGAGTGTTGGAATACTACTTTATGTTAGGGAGGCCCCGACTAAGTCCCCACTAAGCCACATGCCCTCGGGCAGAACCCTGAACTCCATAGCACCTGTTTCCTCTAGGGGGGATGGCAGCACCTCCTCATGAGATCATCTGAATGTGACACAGTGCATGGTGTTCAACATCTGGCAGACATCCCTTGGGTCAGCTGTCCTCGTGTTGCAGAGGTCGGCCCAGTCAATATCATCATTTCATTGGGGGAAGGGGGCATAAGACTTGAGTCCCAAACCTTTGTAGCTTTCTGCTCCTCATCCAGCAATGAGTGGTCTGACAGCATCCACTCAGCTAGCCTAGAAATACCCTTATCCTCTCCCTCCAGAGGTGAGAAACACGGCTTCATCACCTTCCGGTGTTCAGAGCACGCTGCCCTGTCCTTGAGGAATGGCGCCACCCTGAGGAAGCGCAATGAGCCATCCTTCCACCTGAGCTACAGAGCACTCCGGCCCTTCCGCTGGCCCAGATACACTGACTATGGTAAGCATACACAGCCCAGCTGAGTTCTAGTGAGACCCAGAACATGAGGGACCATGACTTCCTTTGATGACACTCAGACTAAAAGCCTTCTGGACACAGCTCCATAACAAGCCCCAGTGTTCTCGTCCATTGTAACTTGCAACTCCTTTGCCTGAGGTTGCTGTCTTGCTTTCCTTCTGGCCTCTGGTCCATCTTGTCCTCGCCTGTGTCACTAAAGGCCCACAGTAACCACCTACAAGAAAGCCTAGCCTGTGTCCAGCCAGCCAGCAGGACCATAGCTGCCCTCTTTGCATTCATTCCATGATAACCCTCAACCAGGCAGCAGCTTTGCCATTAATGGGCTACTGTGTGACCGCACTGTCATCGTGCCCTTGCCATTTAGGGGGAAGTAGGTAAAAGACAAAGTACGACATAGGAAAGAATCATTTGTAGAAGAGAGCCCAAGATAGCCTGCGTACTTAATACAGGTGAGTCCAGGCCAGGCAGCATTCTACCTTGCAGCATATCCATTGTGAGTCAGTTTCCTATCTGTACAAGATAGGCTCATTAACCTTCTGGCAACATGTTTACTAGTAGGTGGGAAAGTCTTGGGAAGAATTCTAGGATATTGATTGGAAAGTAGCTCTGGGGTACTCTCTTCAAGGGTCCCTTGCTCCACAGTCAGGGCCCCTGAAGCCCAGAGACGTTGCAACAGTATGACAGTGCTCAGTCCCGCTCTGTGGCGCCCTAGTCACCCCTACTCCATGGGGCCCACTCAGTGGTAGATTTGCTGGTTATCTGGGCTCTCTGAGTTGCTTACTACCTTCCCTCTCACTGGCCTCCAGATCCCACTTCAGAAGAGGCCCTTCCCTTGTCTGGGAAAAGCAAGTATGAAGCCATGGATTTTGACAGCTTACTGAAAGAGGCCCAGCAGAGCCTGCGTTGATATCAGCCTTAACCTTCGAGGAATACCTCAATACCTCAGACAAGGCCCTTCCAATATGTTTACGTTTTCAAAGAAATAAGTATATGAGGAGAGCGAGCGATCAAGAACACACATGAAAGACTTGAACCTGCTATCGTTTCCTTTTAAAAACAAATCAATGTTTACATTGAACAAAGCTGCTTCTGTCTGTGAGTTCCCATGGTGTTGATGCTCCACTGCCACGTTAGTGTCCTCGTTCCCAGGGGGCTGTCCTGGGTGCACCTCGAAGTGCTGGGTCAGTCTCCCTCTGCCCCTCCTGCCCACTGAATTCCTCTCGTAGACTTGCAGCTATGTTCACCATAACATCTCGTCTGTAGTGTGTGATGATGAAATTGTTACTCGTGAATAGAATCAGGATTATAAACTCATTTTTAATTGAAGAAAAAAAGTATATCCTTAAAATAATGTATTTATGGCTCAGATGTACTGTGCCTGGGATTATTGTATCGCTTCCTTGATTTTTAACTATGCACTGTCATGAGGTGTTTGCTACTGAGCTGCACTGCTCCCCTGGCCACATCATCCTGGAGGTGCTGGGTGGCCACTACGCTGGTCCCCAGGAAGGAGTGGCCTGCAGTGCCAACTATGAAGAGTGGAGAGAGGCGGCCAGGCATCTCCTGCCAAGCCCTGCTCTGCCTGTTATTTGAGTGAGTTTGACTCCAGTTATAATGTGAGCCCCCTTCCCATGCCCAGCTGACACTTGGGAGTACCTGTCTGTTAGTAAGTGCTCAGAGCCTCGAGTGCCTATGAGGAAGGGGAAGACCTGGCCTGAGGTCCCATGGCCAGGGGCAGGCAGAACAGTGGTTCCCACAAGGCTGGGCCTCCTGGACCAAGACTGCTATAGGAGCTGGCAGAAAGTTCAGGGGCTGGAGAGGTGAGTTCGGCTAAGCTGGGCAACAGACTAGAAGCCTAGAAGCCCAACGGCTCATTTAGGGGTAGGTCAGCAGTTGACTCACCAGCATTAAGGCAAATTCAAGCTCTAGCATATGCTCAGGTGTGCCCTCAGCTTTGATCCTTCGTCACCCTGTGGCTTGCCTTGCCTGTGGGGCAAGGCACAAAGCTTTGTGACACCTACAGTACAGACTCCATCTAGGAGCAGTCATGGGGGCGGGGCAACTGCCAAGCCATCCTATATCCTGTTCCTCCTCTGTAACTTTGTAGGTGGGGTGGGACAGGGCCTAGGAGATTGTGAGGGTTAGGGGTAAAAAAGGCACTCCCAAGTTTCCCTCCACCTCCTGGAGCCTTCACTGTGGGCTCTACTTCAAACTGTTTTTTATCACTGTCTAAGCCATGTCTGGTATGACATTCTGAGGTGCCTCAGGGCCCTTCATGAGGGAGAGCCAGCCAGGCAGATTGTGAACTCTTGTGCTTCACACTGAGTAGCTCCTCCTTGATCTTGGGACATTTTCTTTTTTAAAAAATTCTCTGCCACTTTAAGAAAGTTTGAAAGTGACTTATTAAACTAACCAAGCTAAATTAATCTCCTACTGATGCCCTACCCCTTTGAGAATTGGTGATTGAATTTTTTTTATGATTATCAAATACCTCAGTAGAGAAAGTGAGCCATGCATGATCTTGTGCTGGGTATTAGGGATGTGCCCCATCCATAGATAAGCCTGGAGGGCACAGGCTTCAGCAGAAATAGGCAAATTGAGTACCTGTGTGTCAAATTAATTGACCTCTCTGGACCCCAGTTTCCTTTTCTGCGAAGTAGACTGAGAGAGAAAGATAGTGCCAATGCGGACATAATTGATCATAACACTAATTTTTTAAAACCTGGTTATGCAGTTAGCATGCTCTGAGCAGTCATTACTAATTAGTGTTTAATCTATTTGACATCCTGATCTAATGTTTGAAAGACTCCCGTTGTTCATATAGGTATGTTGACTGGATTTTGTGCTGGCCCATCCCTGTCATGTCCTAATTCACCAGAGAAAATGCCCCTGAAGGAAGCCATTACTTGACATAAGACTCCTAATAGTGCTGTGACACACAACCGTCTTGGGGTGGGGGAGACAGCAAACAGAAACATAACAAGAGAAGGCAGAGCTTGCAAGGAGAGACCAGACAGAGGGACTTCCACAGCACAGACCAATGTTCTGAATTCCTTTATAGCTGTTCACTGCCTGGCATATGGTAGGCACATTAAAAACTGGGTATGGGATGGACTAGAATTACAGTTCTCCAGCTGCATCCTGTAAGACCTGATCTGTAATGAAAGGGGAAAGTAAATGTTTACCCTGAAATCACCTGATGGGAAAGAGACTAGATTTAGTTTGGAAAGCTGTGTGAGTTCTGACCCCACCAAGAATTTCCTTTGTGGCTTTGTGGAGTCCCTTCTTCCTGGGCCTCATAGTGTAGGAGTTGCCCAGGTAACCTGGGCTGCCTCCTGTTTGCCACCTCCTGTTTGCTTTCTCAGTTGTACCAGGCCAGATGATGGCCAGGTTCTCAGCAAAGAATGAGTCTCTTTTTTCCCCTTTAGGGTTAGCTGGAGCTGCCCAGCCAGTTAATCCAGGGCACTTGAAGTCATTTAGATGTCAGCTCTTAAGCAGAGCAGAGCCCTGAGCCTGGCATTGGGGACCATATACCAAAAGTATACTGCTGGGAGCCGTGAACGGGGAAGATGCCTGCCAAGAGTGTCCAGTAATCTCCAATTGCCCTCCCATGCAAAAGAAGATTCCCAATTCTGCAGATGACCAGCCCTGCAAATGACCTCCCTCCGGAAGATTCACTTGGTGCTGTGTATCATTCACCAAGGAGACCGGCAGGTCCCTCAAGGACCATGAGTCCATCTTGGTCTCTTTCCCACCAAATTAAGGAGTAACCCAGAGGGAGCAGCTGCTCTTGGCAACCATCTCGTTGTAGTTCTGTGCTAGTGTGTCTCAATGATGTTTACGTGTGATTGCCATACAGCTTCCTGTAGACTGTGTTGACAGCCACCCGAGAAGGGCAGGCTTGCTGTTATCTCTGTGCCGTGCTAGTATTTCCCAGGAATGTCCAATCCAGTCACTAAGTGGAATTCTTCCATCTCCTTCCTCAGTCGGTACAAGGCTGAATCAGAGCTCACTCTCTGGGGGGACTCTGGTTACTGAAGGAAAATGCATCAAATAGGTAAAGAATATGAGTGGTTGGAGTGCAGCTAAGGCCCCTACCCACCCCCAATACATTGCACCTCCCACTAGAAAAGTCCTAGTGAGTCAGAAGGCAGCCATCCCATGCCTGCACGTGCCTGGAGCTCTTGCAGCATCTAGGGTACAGCAGGGCTCCTGGAGTTGGGGGGAGTGCTCCAAGCCAGCCGCAAAGACAGCCTTCAAGTCGTGACGTAGACATGCAATAAAGATGTCTTTTGTGGCCTAGAGCCTTGTAGGCTAGTGTTTCCAGGCCAAGGCTGCTATGCAGGTGGTAAATGGAGAGAAGGTACAGGCAGCCCAGTCCTGCCTGGCCAGCTCCATCCAGGGTCTATTCAGGCCTTGAATTCAGTTCATCTCTGAGCTGTGCCTGCTGCTGCAGGGGTGTGGCACCCCTCTGTGAAGCAGAGTCAACCTGGAGGGAGTGTTGATTGATTCACTGAAGTCAAAAGTATTGTTCCTAACATTCCATCTTCAGTGGTTTTGCTCAGCTTGGGAAATCCATATCTCAGTGTCACATGTGACCAAGGAAAGGGATTGGATGTATAACAGCAAATAAAAGTGAACACAGTGGTTTCATTGGCCAAAGAAGGATCCTCTCCCCCTTCCCACTGGGGAAGAGGTAAAGTCACTGGTGCCTATGTTAAAGCTGATCCCCAAATCCCTGAGGTATTTGCACACATCTCCAGGACTGCTTGCAGAATTTAGGGGTACAGGGTAAATGCAGGGAAAGGCTGAGAAACCCATACATATACAGATGGTCTTAGTCTAGAACAGATTGGGAAAGGGGTACCCCGGCACCTCCTGCAGGACTCCCAGTAAGTAACTAGGGAGAGATGGACTTCACACTAGCCAATAAAAGCACTTTGAGAAAAATTGACACTTCAGCTTGGCTCCACATTCTCCTCCATTAAATATGGGTGTCCTTTGTGTGAGGTGCTATCAAAGAGACTGGGTCAGGGGGCTGATGTGAGGGAGAAAAAAGAGGAGCCTTCCAAGGTAGTAGCCATGGCAGGAGACCCTGCAGATGGCCAATTCTTTACTGGCCTCTTGGCTAGAAGCCCTAGAAACGGTGCAATGGGTTTACATCTTGGTATGCACTTTTGTAAAGATTAAAAACAGCCTAGCCAATTGCAATGGTTTGTGGAACAAATCATTTAACTATAAGCCATCTCAGAGAAAGAGAGAGAGAGAGAGAGAGAGAGAGAGAGAGAGAAACCATGGTTTCTTACTTGCTATGTGACCTTGGGCCCCTGTTTCCTGAGCTAGCAAATGAGGCTGTCAGTGATGCTCATCCTGCAGCTGGGGGAGCCCAGAGTCTGCTCTCTGGCTGGCTCAGGGGGAGAGGAGACTGCAAGATCATCCTCCTCAATAGGATGAGACCTACACAGTCCTGGCTGAGTTGCCTTACTGAGAAGGCCAACTCCCCAGGACAAATTCAAGCCATAGTTTCTTTGGGGGATGGTAAGGAATTAGCCCCCCTTCTGGGCTAGGTCCAGTTTCTCATTAGTCTTGTCATCATCCCCACCGAACAGCTTTTAATCTGAATGTTGTGACCACTTGGCTGTCTCTCTCTTGCTTGCAGACAATATTAGCAATACATTTGTTTTTCCCAAACAGCTTAACTTGGGCACTTTTCACACATTGCTTTCAAATGATTGTAAAACACATGCGGCAACAGGAGGCACGGATCACACTGCATATGTTTAAGGGCAGCTTTTGTTTTTTGAATCTTTAATGGTATAGCAGCAGTGACTGGGCCTTTGATTTGAGGGGACAGATTTTCACAAAGTCATTTCATCAGAATGCCTTGCACATTGGGAAGAGTTCAGAAATCCTAATGCCCCAATTAGGGGTTTGCCACTTAAGAGTTTTGCAGGTGGTCAGTGTCTATGCTGTGCAATAGAGTGCCTAAGAGGTGTTCATACAGCTAAAACCCCTCCGTGATGTTGTTTTTGTTTTTGTCAAAGGAATCTCTGAGGAACCCTTAACAAGCCTCCTTTCTCTCTTTGCTGGCCTTGGGTAGTGTCCTTGAGGAGGGGATTGGTCAGCACTTTGCCTTATCAACATGCGGGCGCCATCTAGTGGCCAAAGACTGCCCACCGGCCACCCTGATGGAAGGCAAAATGAATCCCTTTGGCCAGCCACCATGCCCAGCCACCACACTAACTTGAGCATGAAACAGTGACGTGACTGAACTGTCTGTGGGTTCAGCACGAGGTCAGAAAATTCTGTACTCAGCCACCCAGATGCTCATACAGTATGAGAGACGAGGGCGAACCCTGTGTTCAGGTACCCCGGAGAGGTTTACTGTAACTGCAATACTGGCAGCCCAGCTGCCAATCTTGTTCAGTGAACCTCTACCAGGTGGCCCACATTGTACTTTTGGGACAAACGAAGAGATTGGGTGTGAGGATTGGGGGAAAAGGGGCCCTGGCCGTGACCTTTGATATGGTCCACTGAATAGCCAAACAGGTTTTGTTTTTATTTTTTGGTTTTATATTTTAAAGTTTTGTCACATGTTTTTGTGTTAGGAATAAAAAGTCATAAACTATCCCCACCTTGGTTTCTTGGGATGTTCTGATTCCACCTGAAACAAGCTGGAACTCTGTAGGGGCACATGGTCTGGAGATATGTGGGACAGCACAGTGAGTCACTGTATTTCCAGATGGTTGCTGGAGGAGATGACCATCCACAAGTCCCACTCAGTGCAGTTTGCTCCAGAAATTCACACCTGCCCCCTCGCCTGCCTCCAGTGTCCTGTAAGCCTTGGCCTGGACACCTGCTTCTGCTAGAGGCAGCTGCTGAGGTTGAAGCCAAGACACTATCCAGCTCCCTGAGCCCTAGGTTTCAAGAGACAGTGTCTATAGCTAGCCTTAATTGACTGGGCAAGGTGGTCCCCAGGTCCCTTCCAGCATTTCCAAATCTTGGACTCAAAATCCCTTTTTCTCTTGGTATGACCATACAGCCTAGAGAATTCTGAGCAATAGGGAGCCAGGGCTTTCCCTGGCTCTGCGACAGGGTCAAGCCAGGGAATGGCTAAACTTGAGAGGTTTTGTCATACCCAGGGGCGCTACTGTAGGGGGCATTATGTATTAGGAAGCTCAACAAGGTAACTGCAGCCCTGGGGTATGTGAGTGTCAGGCTGTGAGAGTGTGTGTGTGTGTGTGTGTGTGTGTGTGTGTGTGTGTGGTTACATTGATGCATTTCTTGAGAAAAGTGCAAGAATTTCACCTACACAGAGGGACACATCTGCTTTGTTATTTATAATAGAGAGCTAAATTTTAATTTTTTAAAGGACACTGCTAATGATTGGGAATCGAGTTTTTAGTTTTGCTATTTTTTTTAATTGGTAGAGGATTTTTATATATTTTTTCCATTTTGTTGGGTTGTGTCCTTATTTATATAAATACTTTATCTGTGAGAGGCAAGGAAGAGCCCTTCTTTGCTTTTAATTATTGTGGTTGTCATCGTCCCTGTTTTATTTCTGGTGTGATTTATCTGTCTTACCTTCTAAATGAGAAACTGTTTTCCTGTATTTGTACATTGTCAGATTCTATAGTTTCATAGATAATTTAACCAAATTGCTCTATGTATTATTATTCTGTGAGTATAAAGTTCTATTTTAACGTCTGTAAATACTTCAGAACTGGCTTCTTTCCTCCAGCTCCCACCTCGGAGCTATTGTTTACATCACAAAAACTGTAGAATCTCTATGCTCATGTACTGTAAATAGTGAAGTGATCTGCTTATAAATAAACTTAACAAATACACTATGGAGATTAAAAAGAAAATACTACCCACAGCCCTGCCCAGAGGTGTCTTTCTTTGTTGGTCCTGTGAGTTCATGGGGGCGGGGGTGATACCAACGCTCAGCACTTAAATGAGGGAGTGAATCTGGATCCAGTCTTTCCTCAGAAAAGGCCCTGGTCAAGGGTTTGGTTTGGTTTTGATTTTTCAGTACTGGGAATTGAATCCAGGGCCTTGCTTAGGTTATAACTACTGAGCTATACTCCTGGTCACTTTTTATTGTCATCTTGAGACAGAATCTCACCAAGTTGCCAGTCTAGTCTGGACTTACTATGTAGCCCCTGCTGGCCTCAAACTTAAAATTCTCTCCCTCAGCCTCCTGAGTAATAGGAGATGCACATAACCATGCATGCTGGGCCCAAGTCCAGGTTATTCCCCCACAACTTCATCAAAACTCTGTTAGTTCATTCTCCTCCCTCCCCAACACTTTCTGAATCACGGGTCAGATTCATCTCACACAATAGCTGTTCCTTTAGAGACTTGTGACTGAGTTTTATATTGTCTGAGGACATGTCCTTATTTAGGTGGAACAGCTACTTCACACAAGCATACTAGGTAAACATTCTCTGAGCAATGCCTTGCCATTATAGTTTCAAGCAAAACAACAAAACCAAAAAACCTCATCGGTTTACAATCACAAAACTACTTTCAGCCAGAGGACCCTGCAGAGAGCAGATCTGAACTATGCATTGTGTTTAGGTGGACTGGAAACATTTTCAAGTGTGCGCACTGTGTGAGTGCGTTGTATGTGTGTGTGTGTGTGTGTGTGTGTGTGTGTATTTCCAGCAAGTAGGGTGAGGAAGTGGTACCTCCCAAGACTCAGTCATATGTACATGTGTGTGTATGTGTGTGTGTACTTTATTTCCTTTAAGTGGGTTTAAACCTTATTTGCTCTAAAGCTGTTGTTTTGGGTTTGTGTGTGGTTTTGGTGGTGTTAGATGGAACCCAAAACATTCCTCATCTAGACATGCACTCTACCTATGAGCTACATCTCCAGTCCTTTAACTCTAAATGTGATCTTTGTACAAAATACCCATGAACCCCTCAGGGTTAAAACATCAGTGATGAGAATTCTGTTCAGACAAGGACAGGTACATGTTGCATTTCTTGTTATACACAAACTGAGTTCAAATTGCTGGGCTGGAGAGATGGCTCAGCACTTGCTGCTCTTCCAGGGGACCTGAGTTCAGTTCCCAGCACCTACATCTGGTGGCCCACAACTGCCTGTAACTTCAGGAGATCTGATGCCCTCTTCTGGCCTCCACAGGTATCTGCATGCCTGTGGCATACACACAGAGAAACGTACAAAGGATTGCATTCATAAGCAGTCCTTACTGTTCAGGTGCCGTGTTCTCAATCTTAAAATTCCTTCAGTTTGAAGGAAGTAAATGATGATTTCCCACATTCCAGTGAATAGGGCTGTCTGTACTTTGGGTATTGGTCTCTGGCATGAACCCAAGTCCTCAGCATCTGTGTGACCTATCACTTAGTATCTTCTGTCATGGCCATGAGATGGTATGAGCTCCAGGAGGACAGGGGCTGCTTCTCCACTCACTGCAGGGCAACTGGGAATTCTTGAGTGGATTCAACCTGTAGTACAAGGTCTACTGGCCTCAGCTTTGAAACAAGACAATTTGCTTAGTTGAATTCAAAGGTTCTTAATGGTCTAAAAAAGCTGATTCACAGAAGGTATATGGTTTAGGGAACATGGTTCCAAGCTGGGGCCCTGGGCCAAGTCTACCAGCACCATGCTTCCATTTTCCTGGGTGACTTCTCTTCTTCACCCTGCCACTTAACCACTAAACATAAACATGCTTAGGGACGTGCCTCTGCTTGAAAGACCAGTGCTCTTAACATCAATTACAGCAGGGCTGAAATTGCAGTTGGGGATTAAAAGACAGGAGTCTAGGCGCATCCTGCTGTATGGTGACCTGAGCAGATGGGCAGGGCGTGTGTGCCTTAGGGGCACAATCCATCCATGGAAGACACAGGATTTGAGCTTTGTACACCATGTTCTCTGACCTTGGACAACATCTGGGGGAAGGCCAGAGAATTGGGCTGTGAACTTGCCCAAGCCCCACTACCCAAATGGCCTTCAATTTCCTCCTTCAAAAAGGAAGGTTAGAGGGGCTGGAGAGATGGCTCAGCGGTTAAGAGCACTGACTGCTCTTGCAGAGGACCCCGGTTCAATTCCCAGCACCCACATGGTGGCTACAAACCGTCTTTAACTCCAGTTCCAGGGGAATCTGAAGCCCTCTTCTGACCTCCACGGCATTGCACGACACGGGTGCACTCACATGCAGGCAGTACATTCATACACATAAAAATAATAAGTAAATTTTTTTTTTAAAAAAAGGAAGGTTAGAGTAGATCTGTGGCCCACAAACACTTTGGAGACAATTATGTGGATCCCTCTGCTCAAAGCAACTGTTTCAATATATTAGCTTAGCTCCTGCAGCACAAGCCTTCAGTTTGGGAAGAAGACATTTTCAAGAGCTGATAGCCATTTATAAAGATATGCTGTGTGCCACCCCAGAGACAAAAGATAAATCCAACATCTGGGGCAACTGACTTTCTGAAGCAAGTGACCAGCAAAGGAAAGAGGGAGTGTTTGCAGGTTACAGGAGCAACAGCAGCTGTGACTACAGGGCAGTGGGATATCGACTAGCCTCACACGATCCTCTCACAGTGTGTGAGTAGCATAAAGCATCACTCTGTGTGTCTTAAATTCAGCTCTTGTCAGTGAGACATTTTTTTTTATCTCTTTGAGACAGGGTCTCCCTGCAGCCCCAGCTGGCCTGGAACTTGCTGTGTAGACCAAACTGGCCTCAAACTCAGAAATCCGCCTGCCTTTGCCTCCTGAGGGCTGGGATTAAAGGCATGTGCCACCATGCTCAGCTGTCAGTGAGACTTTTAAAAAGTTGGAGATGGAAAGCAATCGAAATAAAATTTGAATTTAAGCAAGTGTAGAAGAGATTTTCAGCCGCCTTTTCTGTGTGTTAGTGACATTAGTAACGGGGTTCTTTTGCTGATTTTATGTTTTGATGTAGATACTAACTGCCAGGCATCACAGACCCTACACAGCTTACTTCTGTCTTAAACCAACAGTGCCTGTTAATTGAACAGAAGATCTGCAACAGAGAATATTTTTCCTAAATTTATACTCCTTGAAATCAATAGAAATTTGAGAATAAAGAGCAAGCAAGCAAAAAGAAACAGAACAACTAAATTCAGTTCAATATGTGAAATTTGTTTGCGTTAATTCCAAGCACACCGATTCTTCTTTTACATTTGATTGAGTGTGTATGTGTGTGTGTGTGTGTGTGTGTGTGTGTGTGTGTGTGTGTGTTTGTTGTGTATGTGAAGTACATTAAAGTCAGGAGACAACCTGGGAGAACTGGTTCTTGCCTACCATGTGGGACCTGGGATCAGACTGTGGTCATCAGGCTTAGGGGCAGGTGCCTTTACCCAGTGAGCCATCTTTCTGGCCCCAAACTTTTTTGTTTTGTTTTGTTTTTGTTGTGGTTTTTGGTTTTGGTTTGTTTGTTTGTTTTCATACACAGTCTCCCACTGTAGGGCAGCCTGGAACTCACTGTGTAAACCAGGCTGCCCTGAAACCTGTGGCCATCCTGCCTCTGCCTTCTGAGTGCTGGGCTTACAGGCATATTACACCACACCTGGTTCAAGCAAACCAAATTTTAAACACATTTGTGTGACAAATAGGTGGGAGTTGATTCAGGGTTGGCATCACACTTGGATTCCCCAGAAAGTAAACTGGTCTCTGTATAGACAGAAGAAGATGGTGAGCAGCCATCAATGTGAGCCTGGCAAGAGCCGGGGGTCCCATGGGAGACTTGGCGCTACAATGACCTTACACAGTTGTCCCATGTTGGGCAAAATGGCCAAGACTTTGCCACCTTTCCACCTCAGGTGTAGCTGCTAAATTATTCCTCCCCCTCAGAGATCTGCACCTGAGGAAACCCTCAAGAAGCTGTCTGAGAGCCCCAAGTCCTCTGGAAGAAGACAGGTGGTCTCAGTGTCTTGTCAGAGTCTGATCCACAGCTGGAGGTGAAGTGCCACCTCCAAGTGACAGTGCCATGCTAGAAAAGGCCCTTATTCCTTTAAAGATGTGTCTTTTTTTTTTTCAACCCAGAGAGAGGACCTTTCTGTGTAGCCCAGGCTCCCCTAGACTCCTGGTCTTCCTCTCTCCCTTTCCTTAGTGCTGGGATTACAGGTATGTACTAGCACACTGGTAAGATGTGTAATCTTTAAAGAAGTTTATTCCGTTAATGCATGACTTTAAAGACTACAGAGGAGTGAAATGCTGGTATGGAAGTTGCCTTTTAAGTACGTCAGCTAAATCAGGGGTGGTAGTGCATGGCCATAATCCCATAATCTACTTGGGAAGTAGAAGCAGGAGGACTGAGAGTTTAAGGCCAGCCTGGACTACCTGGTAGGACCTGTCAAAAAAGCTTTAAAAAGGAAGGTAGGCAGGCAGGTGAGGGCAAAACCTAGAAAATGGGCATAGAAAGAAGAGATGAAACAAAACAAAGCTTGGTACTCGTCTGAGGGGAGTCCATGGGGAGTCTGTGTACATGTCTCAACGTCGAAGAATGAGCAAAATGTGTATAATAAACACTCAATGGAAGTACTGTAAGAAAAATTATTCAAAGTCAGTCTATGAACCCTAGAATACTATGCTAAATTCAATAGACTGTTTTCGGAGCTTAAAAATAAATGTTTAAGCCGAGTATGGTGGCGCACGCCTTTAATCCTAGCACTCGGGAGGCAGAGGCAGGCGGATCTCTGTGAGTTCAAGGCCAGTCTGGTCTACATAGTGAGTTCCAGGACAGCTGGGGCTACAGGGAGACCCTGTCTCAAAAAGACCAAAAAAAAAAAAGCCACTTGATGAGATGCGGTATGTTCCACCAGCTCTCAATTCTCAAATTTTTTTTTTTTTTCTTTTTGAGATGGTCTCCCTGTAGCCCC